CAACACACACCACACAACACACAACACACAACACACAACACACAACACACAACACACAACACACAACACACAACACACAACACACAACACACACACACACACACACACACACATCATGTACCTTAGTGTGGGACCGGCACAAGTCGCCGGAGGTATATGCACACGTATATCCCGTCTCTCGGATTCCCCAACCCTCTGCTTGGGTTCCAAATCTGAAACTGACGCAGGGCCTAGGGTTACTTCCTCGCCCCGTTTCGACTTTTAGGATTCTGCGGGGGTGACACCGACGCCGAGTCGGGCAGAGCCTTTAGGGTTAAGGGTCGTGAGCAGGGCTCCCCCAAACTTTGCACTTCAATCCTCAACTCCGGAAGCCCGAAGCACTAAGTTTCAAGGTTTAGGGTTCAGGGTTCTAAACCTTTCGGAAGCGGCCGCCTTTCAGGAACTCATACTCCTTTCCGACGCCCACGTGCGTGGTGTGAAAGAGTCCCAGCGGCTTTGCGTTGCACAGGAACTTCGTTCCATCGCAGACATAGGGACAAGCATCCTCGAATTTGACCTCGAACAGGTCACCCATGACTTCTCTATTCCTGAGTCGAGTTCATAAGCCAAATAACAAGGCTTACACTCGCGGTTTTCCGGGAGGTTATCTTGTCCCGACAACAAAAGGCCCAACACTTATTCTTGCGGCTGCTAAGGTTCACTTGGAAAGAGTCGTCTACGCCCGGGCAAACATCAGGGAGATGGATTAATACGTTCAGAAAGGAAGTCCCACACTTCGGCGTGTGCATCCACTTCAAGGGCTGGGCGGCCAGCAGTGCCGGCGTCGCCGGGGCCCCTGCAGCTTTTCGAAAGCCGTTCCCACGACGGAAGCTACGAAGGTCGCTGCCGGATTCCAGAAGGTTACGGCTCGAAGACTGCAAAGAGACCAGAGGTCTCCTGGTAGGCTCGTGAGAAGTCACCAACTGCTTCCCGCCCTTCTTGAACCTGAGGCTTTGAGGAATTTTTAGTTACGGGTATCGGGACAGGACTAGAAGACCTTAAACCTTTTCGGGGGTGAGACAAAAAGAGCTCTAAGCCTAAGCCATAACCCTACAGGGATTCAGAGAAACACCACAAGCTGCCCTTTTCGAAAAACTTCTCGGAGCGAGGTGCATGCCATTTGCCAGTAAGAGGACGCTAAGGAATATGAAGGCCCTGCCGGTTGTCGCCATGGTTTCTCGACTCGTCCCGCAACCCCTAAACCCTAAACCCCTAAACCCTAAACCGCAAACCGGAAGGCGGACCCCGAAACGGGAGGGTTCAGTCTCGGAAGCACTTCAGGCTCAGCAGCCAGAATGCTGAGGCAAAAAAGAGCCGGGAGACTTAGATGTTCATCGGTTTAGGGTTTAGAGTTTAGGGTTTCGGGGCAACTCCAATTTAACAGCAAACGAGAACTGTCGTATCCAAGCTTAATCGTCGCGGGCAGTGAAGACTTGAGTGGATAACCAGATACTACAGAAAGACCTTCCAGGTGTCTAAAAAACGCCGTCAGCAGGATCCACGACAGAAGGCGCCGGCCCAGGATGCGGCTAAGCCCCCCACGGCTCAGTCGGGCGAAAAGCTGACGGAAACGAGCGTGAGTGAGGGGAAGCAGGAGAGCAGACTACGGCAGGCTACGTGCTCACGGCTCAAGAAGCAAACCCTAACTACCCTAAACTAAACAAGCCCGCACACAAGTTGACTTTCTTCTTCCTCCCGGGAATGGAACATACAGAAGATGAGCCCTCACCAACTCTCTTCGACACGGCTCGGGCTTTTCAGGTTTAGCTTCTGGTCTGTCGAGCTGAAAGGTTCGAATCCAGCAAGTATTCCTCAGGACTTGACGATTTCGTTGAGATTAAGAAGCTTAGGCTTTGAGGTTGAGGGTTTATAGTTTACGGATCAGGTTTTTTTTTGGATTGGGGTTTAGGAAAAGTAGTTCTGGGTGCAAAGAGCCCTGGCAAGCTCCAACTCCAAACTCTCAAACCCTGCAATCCAGAACCCCGCAAGCTAGTTACCCCGATGCTTGTGCCAGGTCACGAAACCGCTTGACCCAGCGGTTCGTCTCGAACTCCTGGGACTGCAGCTTCCACACCCCGAAACGCCCATTTCTTCGAGACTTTGGGGAAACGCGCAGTTTGTCATGGGGGCAGGGACTTGCCGGCTGAGCCTTTCCCCCAGTGAGAGGGCCTTGGAATCTACAGTAGGGTGCGTGTTGCGGGCTTGCCACTTCACTCTGAACCCTAAATCCGAAATTTCGCATCTTGTAGCATGGTGTTTCGGGGTTCGGAGCTTAACTGCTTGGGGTTAAAAAACAAGAGCTCAGAGCTTCATGGTGGCAGATTCTACACCAAGGACGACCCGATCAGCCACTATGCAAACTCTTAAACACAAAGCTCCTGGACTAGCAGCAATTATTAAGGCCTCCGTATGCCCTATTGAGCCAGCCGAGGTCGAATCTGGACCCTTAATCGCTGCCAGGTGCGGTGTATCTCCACCACGATGACACCTGCTCCACCCTGAGCTGCTCTTTTCTGGAGCTCGGTATCCGGTGATGCTTTTCCCCATCTCTACCGTAGCTTCTGTTCTGAAGCGGTTTGTTGTTCTCAATTTCTGCAATGCAGTCTGCAGAGCCCACCATGACAGATACGGGCTTTGCCACCAGGGCGGAAAGATCTAGGGTCCAAGGATTCCCAAACTTTGAACCTTCCAGCCAAAGCCAAAGACCCCAAAGTCTTACAGGTGAAACCCACCCCGGATCACCACATCCTACCTCTCGCTCAAAGGCCTCGGGATGCAGTTTAGGATTTTTTGGGGTCTTGCGGCATACGGAGCTTGGGATTTTATGGCCTTGTGGCTTTGGTGTCCAGGGCTTTGGGGCTAGGGGGTCTAGCCGGGGGGTTCGCTCGCACCCCTCTTATTGTTGACACTTCTGCATTCCGGTGGCATCCGGAAGCCTGTATCGTCAAATGCTGAGGGCTGAGGGCCGCGGAGCTGCCCTCTTACAAACCACGCAGAAGGCCCCTTCCAGAAGTCGCTCAAACAAAGAATAGACCGAAACCTTCGGCGCCAAATTAAGAAATCAATCAAGTGACAGCCTCAATTCTGGCCTGCGCGTTGCAAAGGTAAAAAAGGCTTGGTATGTAGGTGTACGGATTTCGGTATTACTCTTGTTGGCGCTTGGTTTGTATAACTTGCCCGGTGTGATGCTTCGTGCATTGACGGTTGTGAGCAGACTATGAACGGTCGCAGACCCGTGCGTTAGTCTGCTCCAATTTCATCATTCATGCCACGCCCGACACCCGACACCCTAAAGTGTGAATGTCTGTTTGATAAGTGCTGAACCTCAACGCCCGAACCCGAAAACCCTAATCTCCAAACGCCCAACCATGAAACCCTAAAGCTTACAGTCCCAGCACCCGCAAACCCAATCTTATGCACGAAGTCACGACGACCCCTGAACTGACACGAAAGACCCAAAAAGCCCCAAACCCGCCCACACCTGGGTCTCCAGAGCCCGAAGCCCGGACCTTTACAATCCAGATCCGAACATCGAAACAACCCCTACAGGCCCTAGATAAGACACCAACAATCTGCCGTAAAAAGCCGAAACATCGAAACTCCAGCAAGGCATGATGAGAGAATCCGCCATTAGAGTATCCAAGTAAGTAGGTTTTGATGGTTCTTGGCATCTAAACGGCTACCAGTTGCGCACTTCAAGCCTCCCAAAACCTTAATTCTCAACGCCGAACACTAAACTCGGCTGAAGCTTGCAGTAAACCCCAGAAAGCTGGAACATGGATTTAGGATGAATAGTGCTGAGATCCCTATACTTTACCTGAGGATACCATGTTCCAACTTTCTGGCTTCTACTATACTGTAGGGGCCTTAATAATTACCTATAGTATTTTGGTGGCTCCTTTTTATGATTATGGTATAATATAACCCCCAAAACCCTATTCTAACTATTAGGGCCCCTACATTAAGCCTGTTTCAAGGCCTCTCTTTGATCCCCAAGGTCCGGTTGGATGCTGGAGACACGAAGCCCTCCCACATGTCGGGGACCAGCTGAAGGAATCGCCTCGGGCCAGGTTCTCAAGGTTTGTCAAGGGATTCCACATGTCCACATGGATTCTCTCATGTTTCCAGAAGGATTTAACCCTAAACCCTGAACCCTAACCCACCCAAATCCCTGTCAAGCCTGGGAACCTGCAACTCCTTCAAGTCGTATGATAGGGTTTAGGGTTTAGACTCCAACAAGCCCTAAACCCTAAACTCCCTAAATCTTTGATGGAGGACTCTTCGGGCCTCTTCCACTTCTCGTTCCAGTCCGTCAGATTGGACCGGGCCAAGAAAACCTGGGGCGTAGGGTCGGCCCAGGGCGCGGAGTTGGGAGCTGTGGGTGTTGGGATTTACGGGCTTTGGCTACAGGAGCGCTCCCTCTCAAGATTCTGAAAAATGTTGGGCTGGCTAGGCCTTTGGGGCTGCAGTCGCAGACGATGCCCGTCGGGTCGAGGATTTGGAATCTGCATGGTTGGCTGCGGTGGGAGGGGCCTTTGGGGGTTTCCAGGGCAGCAACGGCAAGCTGGAGGGTTGCTACCGGACCCGGCCCACAAATACGACTGGGAATACAGAATACGGCGGCTGCAGCTACAGGAGCTTGAACTACCCACTCCATTTCTTGCACACGAACCGATCCCTGCATGAATGCAAACATCCTCCATCCATGCCAAAAAATCTAAGACTGGGTTGAAAAGACACCGAAGTCCTAAACCCGGTGCTCCCAAACCTTCTACCCAATCCTATAGCTTCCACAGTGCAACCCTGAAGTCCGAAGACTTTGGAAACAATTACTTCAAGGGCTCTGTAAGGGCTCCTGTAAGTGTTCCTATAAGGCTTAAATACCATAAGGGTTCTCGCTACTGTAAGGTTGCTGAGTACTCTCGGCAACGGACGTCGTTGTGGCTTGCAGCCGCGTTGCAGTTGTGATCAACGCGTGCATGTAGTGACTTGAGGGCAGCAGCACTGGCAGACCCAAAGCAAGAACCTGCAGGGCTTGGGGGTTCAGAGGTTTAGGGTTTAGAGGCTTAGGGGTTTCGGGTTTTGGGTTTTGAGGGTTTAAGGGTTTAGGGGTTTAGAGGTTTCATGGTTTTAGGGTTCGTCAAACTCGCTCTTTGAATCAAGCTTGGTCTTACGCAAACCCAGGCTTGGCTAGAAATTAAGAAGACTACCTGTCTTTTCCATTGTAGTTCGTTTTTCGGGTTGCCTTATCGGATCCTAATTAGATGATTCGTTAAACTACAAAAAGGAACTAGAATGGAGATTATAGGTAAGACCACATCCTGGCTGGGAAAGCCTCGGAGGAAGCTTTCGTCAGAGTTTTCGATGGATTGCAACCTGAAAACCCGAAACCCTCCCTAAACCCTAAACCCCAAAACCCTCTCTCAACCCTGAACCCTAAACCCCAGGCCCTAAACCGCTGGCATGTGCAGCGACTCGGTCGCGGGAGGCACCTCTTGAAACGAAACGAGTCCAAAGTCCCAGGGAATTTGCAGCACCGCGGAGAAGTCTTGCAGCTCCTGGGCTTTTCTTAAGGAATTAGGGGTTTAGAGGGTTTAGGGCCGAGGGGTTTTAAGATGGTTTAGGTGTTTATGGGGTTTATAGGGTTTAGGGGTGTGCAAGTTGAAGGCTTTCGGGCTTTATGGGGTTTGGGTTTTCGGGTTACGGAACGTCATTGCAGTCACCCTGGTTAAGTAAGAGAGCCAAGCTATTTAGCGTAAGTGTCCCTGTTGCGTCAGACCATTTGATAGCTCCATACATATCCCTATTCTGGTACCTCGCCCTCAGCTCTTGTATTGATAAGCGAGAACCCTCGAAACCCTGTAAACCCTACTGTAAACCCTGAACCCTAACCCTAAGGTCTTCTGTTGATAAGCTAGAGCCCAGGTGCCGGATAGTGGAACTCGCGAACTTCCGCCACTGGCATCTGCTCTACCTTAGTTTCGCACTTTCCTTAGCTATTATGTCTTTCTTTGCAGGGAACCTACGACCACCACTGGCCTTAAGACTTGAAATCTCGTACGACGGAAGAACCGAACTCGAATTTTGACAATCCCCCCGGAGTTTCATTGAAATCGGGGCGCGAAATAACCTTTGAATCTGAGGGATATTGAGTTTCATAAGGTCGAGATATAGGGAACGCAAAAACTCCAGGGACCGTAAGGAAACAGCAACAATATTGCGAAGGATTCTGTCCGCTATAATAATGGAGGGGCCTTAATAGTTAGAATAGGGTCTTGGGGCCCATTATACTATAGTTAGAATAAGGAACCCCCAAAATAATATAGGTAATTATGTAGGCCACTATATTACACGCCTGAACAACCTGCACCTTCAGCACCGATGCAAATCACACCAGGCCACAGACCAATCGATGCTTCGAACGACTTGCGTGAACAGTCTCTCGATACCCAGGGCTACCAGCGCCGGGAACGTGGACTGCGACCTTTCTCAGCACTACTGGCATGTTGCCCTCTTTCACTTTCGTCCCTCCTCTTCAAAGCAACAAGCACGACAAGCACTACATGTCCCGAAAACCAGTCCTCCAAAGCAGTAAACGTCTACGCTCTCCGAGACGACGATCGCATTGGACGCCGCCGGCCAGTCGCAGGACATATCGGGCGCCAAACTCCACCAGTTGCGGCTGTGATGCTTCGCCAAAGGCTGCCCTTGCCAAAACCAGGTCCAATCGATCATTAAACACAACCTTCCGAAGTGCCATTGCCGTTGCTCCCCTCGTGGGCTGTGCTGGGTCAGGCGTAATCCAGCGTTTGAAGGTCCCCAGCACCCACGGAGTGATCGATTCGTCAGCATACTCGGCCAGAGACCCAGCGCCATGGACCAGTACCTGAGCTGCTCCGCAAGCTCGATGCATACTGCTCAGGGGCCACCATAATAGGGTTTTGGGGTATAGTATACCACAAGTGCATTGAGGAACCCTAAAGAAGAATAGTATTGGCAATTTTCCAGGCCCCCATATCACAAGAACAGTGAAGAGCAAAGATCTCCTTCTGCCCCTTTCGGCCCCAGGTGCCAGCATCGGGACATCAGCCAACTCAACACTCGTTCCCAAGATGGGGCAGAGAGCATACGGATAGCCACAGATTAGCAGATCCGCCGCCCGGAGAGTGGGCACCTGGCAGCTTCAGAGAAAGAGCTTCCTTGGGATTCATACGAACAGATGATGGGTGATGGTAAATTGATTCATCCGGCTTAGAAGGCTGTCATCTCCCTTATTGAACTCGCAGGCCTCGCAACAAAACCCAAGAGCCCCAGAACTGAACCTGCAGTCATGGACAAGTTTGGGGTTTAGGGGTTTAGGGTTTAGGGATGTACGACGGCCCAAGACTTAGAAGCAATCCCCATGACATATTGAAGCAGGTTCTGGCCGAAACAAAACCTCTGTAAACAGAGAACAGCAAGATGCCCAAATCTTATCGAGACTCCCACCTCATGTCGCAGCTTCTGCAGCGTCTGCCGCACGTCGTGGATCGAACAGCCCGTCTCCGTGCCTATGCCGCTGGGCTTTATGCTTCTTCAGAGCTGTAACTTGGCACCAGTAGGCGCTCACCAAACCCTATAGGAAGCGCTAAACACTCAAACATAGAGGACCTTTATCGTAAACCCTAAAGCCTAAATCCGGACATGCACTCAGAGTTCAAGGGTTCAGCTAACAACGACGACTTAAGGCGAGAGCCCTCAATACTAGGATCCGCCAGTAGCCATGTAAGGACGCCGGATCCCCTTCAACATAAACAGCCGATACTCAGATACTTGCCTGAGAACTTGCGCAAGACACGAGGCAACGACTTACGCAAGCTTCAAGAACCGAGCGCGACTCGTTCCTAGCTACATTCAATCCCCTTCCAAGCTGTTGGAAACGTGTGGCTCCCCAAACCTCCCCACCAAAACATCGGACACCTTAAACTACAAACATGTAAACTCTAGAGCCGCAATTAAACACTTAAGCCCTGAACATGTATCTGCACCCCCAAACACTTAAGCCTTATGCGCAGAGCCCTGTAGTGCCAGATGCGGGCCGATGCCCATGCAAGTACACTAAACCTAAACCCCAAACCCTAAACCCAAACCCCCCTCCCTCCCGCCCTGCCTATGCCCATGGAAGTACACCAGTCCATCAGAACATCGGCCGCCGAACCCAGGCAAAGGGAGCTGCCCAGTCCAAGCGATTCCTTCCGAGTCACAGGGCTTAGGAATCAGGGTTTGAGGGCTTAGCGCTCAGGGGTTTGTACACAGTTTGTTTTTTCTCGATTTGGGAGCTGATAGGGGAGTTCAGGCGCTGTTGGATTTTGGTGCTTGGCTTTCGGCGGTTGGGTGTAAGATGTGGCACGGTTTGAGCAAAGGCGCTTTTGTGGGCTGCGGGTTGAAAGCCGAGTTTGGCCTTAGCTCGTGGCATTCGCGCTTGGTGGGGCCGTTGGCCCAATTTGAGTTGCGGCAGTTTCGGCAGCTACGTCTACTGTGATCGTGCTCAGTAGTCCGCATCATGTTGCTCTTGGCGATTTACACTTACTAAATACGCGACCACTTGGACCTCTTGCGAATTTGATTTTGAAGGCTTCCGCTGCAGGTCGCCCGCGAACCTCCTACGAAAGCAACACACACACAGAGCCAGAAACGTCAGGTCGCAGAGTTCCCCCAGGCATCCAAGATTCCTGGAGCTGTTCGCACTGATGTCTCGCTGCACCCCACCTTCCGTCGTGAGACAAAGCATATTGGGTTCTAATAACCTCAACCTTTCTACTGGTGTCTGGGCTGTGGGGCAGGCTTTGGCCAAGTTCTTGGATAAGACATTGAAAACCACGTCGTCCACCTTACCCGGGGTTAATTCCCGTTGAGTGGGGGTGCTCATGTTAAAGTCAAAGTGTTGCTGTCAGCCGGCTGAGTGAACTTTCTTCCCCCTCACATCATGACATATCTTCCAGGACATACTGCCAGCAGGTCCTCATGCATGGTTTCAGCATTCCACAGAGTCCAGACTGTCTTTCGGCCTTGACGTTCTCCGGCCTTCACATGCCATGATTCAGTGGTGTGTGTCCTCGCTTTACCCTAAACCTAAACCCTGTACCCTTTTCCCCGAACTCCTCAAGGTACAGACCCCAAACCTTCAACCCCAAAGCCCTGACATCCCATCAGAGCTCAGCTTGAAGAGTTTGGGGTGTGCCTCTGTGTCTTGCAGGCTCATTATACTATCGTACGTTAGAGTATAACTAGTATCCTATTGTATGTTATAGTAGAGTATAGTATCCTATAATAGATTATAGTAGAAAGGTTTTTTGGGGGTTTCAGAAACCGTTGCCTGCCAGCCACCGCGTAGGAGAGGATCACGGCTTCCTTGATTGAACGCTGCAGTACAGGCACCAAGCGAAGCCGAACATGAGCTTCCTATGCTAGGTTCCCCAGTAGCCCCTAAATAATAAAGGTACCCTTTTTCCTACTATTTGGTTTTATTAAAGGAGCCCAAAAAGAAAAAGGGCGAAAAGGGTACTATTGGGGAACCTAGTATGAGAACAAGACAGAACCCGTGGAGAAGCTCGGCAGAAGCCGCAGTTTGAAACCGAACTGAGGCATGCTCTTTACCTAGGAGCCGTCGATTTTTCAGGGTCTCCGTTCTGTGCCTTCCGTACATGTGGGTAGGGTCCTTTTTATAAGGGTGCCGTACTATATTGGGGACCTCAGAAGGGACCCGAATTTAGGGAACTATCTATGTAGTCCTAAAGCCCTTGAAGCCCAAACCCCAACTAGCCCCGTCCCCGAGCTCAACCCGAGCGGCCTGAAGCCTTTAGACGAATCCGAAACCTTCTGACGTCAAGTCATAGAAGCGTTTCTAAGCCCTCAAGCCAGAACCCCTAAACAATCCCGGAATCCTCAACCCTCCACCCCAAATCCTCGTCACCCTAAGCCCCAGGCCCTTCATCGTGTGCTCTGAGGTTTAGGGCCCTAAACCCTAAACCCCTGAATCATCTGCTCCGGGGCTCTGAAGCCATTCCCGTCTTTTCTGCCGCCTCCAAGCTGGCAAGGAGGCCATCGAAGGCAAAGATGTGGCCTCGGAGTGTAAGGTTTAAGGTTTACAGTTTTGGGTTTAGGGCCTAAGTTCCAACTTTCTGGGGTTCACTAAACCCTAAACGCTTTAGGGTTTTTAGTGAACCCCAGAAAGTTGGAACATGGGCTCCGAGATCCCATAATCCCATATAGTTTACCTTACGGGCCAGGATTACAATGTTCCAACTTGATGGCTTCTACTATTAAGGTGTTGTTGCACAATCATTATAAGGTTCTGGTGGCATACTATTGTATAGCTACAAGAAGGGGTTTGCCGCAAGGGCTTCTATGCGTTCTGCACGACTTTCATTTTCAGGTACGTGGGTTGAGTTTTCAGTGGTTTAAAGCTTCGGGGTGTCAGGCTTTGGTTTGGTTTGTGGGAGCGTAGGGAAAGTGGGATCTTCTTTGTGATGGCTTGGTGGTTGTGTGTGGTGGGATTCAAAGGAAGGCTGCATGAGGTGTCCGACACCTTAGATGTTAAGATCAGGGCTAAGGCTTTGGTGGTTTAGGGTTGGTATGTGGATTTGGCTTCGGGGTTTGAGACTTCAAGCGAGGTTTCGGGGTTGTGGGGCGTTTTTGGTTTAGGGTTTCGGGTAGAAGGCCCCTTCCTAGGCTTGCTGATGTTGTTGCGCGTCGGCACCAGTCCTGTCTGAGAATGAGGCAACCCTGAACCCCAAACCCGCAGCTCGCCCTAAACCCCAAAAGGTCCTCAACTCTAAACCTCAAACACATGTTGCAGATCCGTGCATGGCATGGTAGGGATCTTCCTGAAACCCGTCCATCATCTTGCAGCTGCCATTAGTTTTCGGAATTTTCGGCGTTTAACCTGCGTTCGAAGCCACGAAAGAGCTGAGGCCAAGAAACCTTTCACTTCCAGAACGACCTGAACGTAGACGGTCGCGAAATCGCAATGAAACTCAACCAAAAACACGGAACAGCAAAAAACGCGGAACCCTTTTCGAGAACTGGGAATTACCCTAGAAAAGGCTATTTAGAACAAAAGTGTCCCAACGCGAATCCCCAATGCAATCGCAAAAAAGCTTGAACCCCCTTACACTCCCCTACTGCATGCCTTACAGGGTCCCGACATAAACCTTCAGTGTGGAACCCGCAGAAGACGATAGTAGAAAGAAACTTACAAGTCTCAGAACGCCTACCCTAAACTCTACACCCTAAACCTAAACCACGACGTCCGAGTTGCCGGACCAGCACCACTCGAAGCTGCGTGGGTGCCTGATGTGAGGCCTAGGCATTCTGATGCTGCGACTACATTTGAAATTCCCATCCATACCTGCAGATGGGGGAAAAAGAGTAAAATAATCTCGTATAGGCACACTCAGAAGCACTTCGTGCTGACCGAATCAGACGTCGAAATCAAGCTCGCTGGAGCGCTTCGGTTCAACCCTGTGGCAAGCGGGCAAGCGAGCCTCTGAGCATTACCTGCAACGATAGCAATCACGTAGTCTGCAAGACCCACCGAACCCCCCAGACTCCTAAACCACAAAGCCCTCATCCCCAGAAGACACTTAAACCCTGCTAGTGACTCCTTGAGTGCAATCCCCCCTTGAACAAATGCAGCAATATCGTAGACCCCCCGCCCCCCAAACCCTAAACCCCAAACCCTAAACCCTATACCCAGTACCGTATACCCCCCTAAACCCTAAGGCCCTAAACCCAAAGGCCCTAAGGGCCTCCAAAGCGGCGCCCGAGATCAAAGGCAGCTCGGGCTGAGGGCTCCGAAAGCCCACAGCACATGAACCGGCTCCATGGGCCTCAACTTAGGGTTTTGGGTTTAGGGTTTGGGGGTTTGGGGGTTTGGGGGTTTAGGGTTTAGGGGTTTGGGAGTTTGGGGGTTTAGGGTTTGGGGGTTTAGGGTCAGTGTGTAGGAGTTTATCTGGTTTAGGCTTTAGCGTATTCGGGCTCAGCAGGGCGACTACCAATACATAAGGGTTCTTTAAGTGTACTTTAAGGCCGCTTCTAAGGGCATCATAGGGGTTAAAGGTTTAGGGGGTTCAGAAGGGTTTAGGGTTTACTAATTTACGGCTTAGTGGTTTATGGTATATAAACAAACAGGTTGAAGCCTCGGTGTGTGAAGCTGCACGGATCGAGGTCTGTACAGGGTTCCGAATCCTAGAGATAGGGGTCACAGTGCCCGTGCGCCTCCAGCACACTCACGAGCAGTTCGGCCAGCTCATCGGCGAAGTGGAGAGAAGAGAGGAGAAGCCTCGGCAACGTGGGTTTTTAGGGTTTCAGGGTCGATCACTCACACGATCAAGCTAAACAGCAAAACCCCACAAATCCATGACAAATCTACAGATGGCTTCTTGCGGACACCCTCAAAACATTATCTGCAAACTAAATGGGTGTCGAAGAGGCATCAAGGCCCAGTGCAAACGGCTTGGACCTCCCATGAGCGAGCACAGGTGCTCCAAGTATTCCTGGCAGGGAAGCAAGCAATCACCACTCCAGTACCAACAGCCCTACCGCTACCACTACCAAAGCTGCCACTCCTACTCCTCCTCCTCCTCCTCCTACTATTACTACTGCTTCTACTACTACTGCCACGACCACCACTACTACTTCTTGTTCTGCTTCTTCATCGGGGCTCTAGGACTCAATGGAGATCGAGGTCGCCGGTCTTGGTCTAGGGCTTGGGGCCTGTTAACAAGCAGAACAGGGTTTTGGGGGTACACTCTACTATAAGTATAATAATGAACCCCCCCAAACAGTATAGGTAATTATTTAGGCCCCTATATTCGGGCTTTTGGGCCTTTTTGAAGGTTCCCCCTTGGACTGGGGATTTGGGGCTCCAGGGTTTGGTCGTAGGCGTTTTCGGATTCCGCCGCTTTGTGCGCTTGGCTGGTTAGGGCTTCAGGGCTTCGATGGTTGGGGGTTTCGGGCTTCGCATTTTGCAGAACGGTCTGGGACCATAGAGGGATCTGTGATACTGATTTGATGGTTTTTGGGATTCAGGCTTGCCAGCGAAAGCCCGGGATTTACAGTGCAACATTACAGTGTGTCCATTCTTCAGCCTTCCAGCCACTCAGCCAAACAGCAGATGCTAACCAAACACACAGGCAGTTCTGTCTAGGACTGGCAAAGAGCCCGATGCCTGAAACCTGAAAGCTAAACCCCAAGCCCCAAAGCTTCAACCCTTAATCATTAGAATGGGGTTGTATGCTTATGATAAGGACCCCCCCCCCCCCCACATTCAGCCACTGTTTTACCCTTCGGTTCGGACGGCTCCTGACGGTTCTCAGGGTCGCTCTGAATGAGAACCACCATCGCCGCCAGGTAAGGAACTACACAGAAGTCTCTCGTCCTGCTGTGCAGCTCCTGCTGGCGAGGAATATCATTCGTTCATCGTGTAGGTGCCTGAATAATTTTAATAGGGGTTGGGGCCGGGGGGGTGGTCATAATAGCAGAAAAGTAGAGGGAGATGCTACTACTGCAACGTGAATCCAAGCTTCAATTAAAAAAGGGTGAACCTGTCAACTGACTCTAAGTCGCAAGCCCAGGAAACCCTAAACCCTAAAGCCCAAACCCTGATGGCTGGCCCAAAAACGGCGAACGTTTTCAACTATAAGTACAGCAGGGTTACACATGTCCCAAAAAGTTAAGGGTTACCGCCTACTCAGCTTCCACGCCGAAGTGAATTTCCTTCTGGGCGTCTTCGCTCTGCAAAACGTGCATGGCGAGGTCTTGCTGAGCTTCATCAAGACCAACTTGTTTCCACAACTCCTCAAATATAGGGGGCATTAATTAGCATATCTGAACTTTAGTATTCAATATGTACTAAAGAAAAAGACTCCTAAACAGTAATATTGTTCATCATTCCGGGTTCTATATTGGGCTTAGGCTTTGGGTTCAGGGCTTTGGGGTTCGGGGCTTGGTTTTCAGGGTTCAGGGAGGTGCAAGGCTGATCAGGTAGCCCGTCCTGAAGCAGATGCATTTGCACGGGCTCCTCGTGCCAGAAGCCCCGCGGATAAATCAGAAGATGCACTTCTGCAAAGCTGAGTTGCTCTCCTGCCACCGATGCCCAGTTTTGGTATGTGCGACGGCTCGAGTCCCTGATTTCGGCTTCGGCGTATTCTGATGCAAGGAGACCGGTGTGCCTGAGAACCTCGCGCATGAGGCGGCGGTCAGCATCGGCGTCGTCAGTGCAGTCCATTAATGCAAAGAACTGCTCAGATGGATGGATGACTCTCTCCCGGCCCTCACCGATCTCGTCCGACATCCCAGCAGCCGCCAGAAACCCTTCCCAAAGGAGGCATCCTTGCAGTAGGCGTCCTTTGGAACAGTGCGCCATGCAGCCTCCATGGCCAAGATCTTTGGCTCGAGCTGCTTGAGGCGCCCGAAGAGTCCAGTCGCAACCCGGCTTAGGCCGTGCAGGGTTCAGGGAATTAGGGGCTTCCGACAATAGGGGACCCTAATATAGTACCCTAAGTAGTGGGACCTCCTTCTTATAAGGACCCCAAAGCAAGGTACCCCTTATTTTCGGAAGCTCCCAATTAGGTCTATTTGGGGGGTTTACACTGCTTCGACGGATCTTAGAGCAGAGAGCCTCTTTTGCAGAATTCGTGCTCTCGTGCTATCCTTCGGGGGAGTTCAGGTCCTTCACAGGAACACAACAAGCGCATGCTGTGCATGCTGCGTTAGACAGAAAGCCGGCAAGGCAATATGCTTCCGGGGTGAAGGACATTTCTGCTTTTGGAGTCCTTGAAGATACCCGCGAAGATGTGTAGATTTTCTATTCTCAAGCCCTGATGCATCAGCTACACCTAAACCACTTCTACCCGTAAGCCCCCAGCCCCAGAAGCCCCAGAAGTCCTATCATTAGTAGCCTAAACCCTATTCTGCCCTTTTGTCAGCATGGTCAAGTTGATGGTAATGCCTGCGCCTGGAAACCCAGCTTGCCTGCAGAGAAGGAGAAGGGTAGTGGTAGTAGTAGTGGTAGTCGTAGAAGTAGTAGAAGTAGTAGAAGTAGTAATCGTAAGGCGTAGTAGTAGTAGTAGTGGTAGCAGTAGTAGTAGTGGTAGTAGTAGTAGTAGCAGCATTAGTTGTAGTAGCAGTAGTAGTAGCAGCAGTAGTAGTAGTTGTTGTTGTTGGTGTTGTTGGTGCTGCCGTTGCTGTTGTTGCTGTTGTTGTTGATGTTGTTGCTGTTGTAGTACTATCATTTTTTTTGGGCGGGGGGGTAGAAGCAGCGATACCAATGCATCCACGACGAGTTCTACCACCGATGCTGCCACTAATTCTTCGACGAGGACGACGAACACCAGAGCAGCCGCGAGTTCTAATTCGACTGAAAACAACTCCAATCACCCTTTCGTTGCTGATTACATCGCTGCACCAAGTTACTGTGAAGCCCTGTCAACGGTCTCAGACCAAAGAATCCGGTGCAGTAAACCACGAAATGTGCCGCAGGGGTTGGGGGGAAGGGTGCCAAGCAATCAAGTCGCGGATGGGAACCGGCATCCGATCGCATCCATTTCACGACCTCGTCTTCAGGTTTGATAAGCGCCTGTATATTTGCTTTCAGTTTAATTTTTGCAAAATACAGCTACCATGTCAGGGATGCTCTCCTCAACAGTGAAAGCGCTGCCGCGACCACCACTCCCAAGCCGAGTCTATCCAGGGCCTTCTCACTTGATGCCCATTTATACCCTAGATACATACATACATCCATCCATGCATGCATGCATACCTACATACATGCATACATGTTCATATGTGTATGTATGTTTGCATGCATCTATATATATATATATGTATGTATATATATGTATATATATATATATATGTGTTATGTGTGTGTATATATATATATGCATATATATATATATATATGTGTGTGTGTGTGTATATATATATATGTAGACATTCGTATGGAGTATGACTAATACCTTCCCTGCAAGGTGAAACAGCTCTTTCTTTCGCAAATTGCAAGCTACTAGACCCGAGGCATCTTCCACTCGCGACTCTTATTCCCAAGCCCAACAGCACTGGAGATGCCACACGGTTTCGGGTTTAGTGGTTCAGGGTTCAGGGTTTAGGGCTTAAGAATTATGGTTTCGGGTTTAGGGAGTCGGCTCGTTGGGGGCTAATTTCAGCAACGGAAGTGTGACATGCTGCGCACCTACACCCTGGACTGCACAAACAAAACCGTCAGCCCCTACCCTCAAACTGCTAAACACCTCAGCGGAACCCTTATAGCGAGTCCCAGAAAGTTGGAACATGGATTTAGGATGATTAGTGTTGGGATCCCTATACTTGTGATTAACGGCAGGAGAATCATGTTTTTCCAACTTCCTGGCTTCTACTATACAGGAACCCTGAACCTCAACCCCAGCAGACATGTCACTGTTGAAGCCAGCTAGCCGTCCAACCTGTTCCGCGAGGGCTTGGGCGTGTCGGAAAGTTCAGGATGGATGGGCTTGGGGGCGTTAGGCTTCAGGGGTCCAGGGGCATAAGGCGTTCGGAGTTTAGAGCTCTTGGATGTTAGGGTTCAGTTTGGCGCTTCTGGCTCCTACGGTCGATGCTATAAATCCTGCATTACCCGAAACAGGGAACCTACCATAGTTCCCGTAGTTTAGGGTCCTTAAGGTAATGCAGGATTAATGTCATCAAGAAGAGAATTTAGCCGCTTTAGAGGCTCAGGGTGTTGAAGCATCGGGCTTTGGTGGCCTAGGGTTCTAGGAATGAGTTAGGGTTTAGGGTTTAGGGTGTAGGGTTTCGGATTAGGGTTTAGGGTTTAGGGCTTAGGGTTTAGGTTTTTTTAATGGTTTAGGGTTTAGGGTTATGAGGCAATGCGCCTTCACTGCTTAGGGTTGAGAGGTTTGAAGTTAGTTTAGAGAGCGGGTCTAGCGATTCTGAGGCGTGGGGGTTTTAAGTTTTGTATAGGGCCTTAACAAGCCAAGGTGTTGGGGTCTGCTACATTAGAGCTACACTTCTGACCTAGGGAATACTAGGACAACCTGGGATGTCGACTTTAGGGGCTCTAAACCCTAAGGGCTCTATCCTTAAACCCTAAACCCTAAACCCAAAGCCCTAAGCCCTAAACCCTAAACCTTAATCTTTGGGAAGGATTTCGAGTTTAGCGGGCTGCTCTGGCAGGAATAAAGAGGCGCCCGTTCTCGAAGACCTAACTTGGAGGTTAAAAAGACTGAGCTTTTGAAGTCGCCAGGAAAAAAACAGCTCTAAACGTTGATTCATATGTCAACCCTAAACCCTAAACCCTAAACCCTAAACCGATGGTTCCTTTGCGGAAGGGGTCCGGCAAAAGGCAAGAAAGCATGGTGCCATCCTGCATTTCTGAAAGGTTCCCAGACTTCTTGAAACCCCCAACTCCTGGACGTTGAGGATTTCGGGTTTGGGGTCTATTTCGGGCTGAAGGTGTAGGGTTTCGGGTTTAGGGCTTGGGGTTTAGGGCTTCGGGTTTAGGGTTTTCGGGTTCAGACAGCTTGAAGAACAATTCAAAAAGTGGAGCTTCATGGCTCGAGGGCCGGAACACCCTGAAACCCTCAAAGTGGCAAAAACAAGGTTGAGGGTTGAGGTTTAGTTTAAGGCTTAGGCTTTAGTTCAGGGTTTAGGGTTTAGGGTTCAAGGTCGTATTGCGAAGACCTTGCTGGTCTTGGCCGGACCGCCTCCAAAAGCGTGCTGTGCTCGGCATCGCTGGTGTCAGCAGCACTTCCTTGGCAATTAGCCGAATCTGTGGCTTCTTGGTCAGGGTGTGGGGTTTCTAGGCTGGGACCAGGGCTGATGAGTTTCGGGTTTCTGTTAAAGTTTCGACGGCTGGGATTTCGGGCCTAAACCCTAAACGCTAACCCTAAACCCTAAACCCTAAACCCTAAACCCTAAACCCTAAACCCTAAAACCTTAACCCTAAACCCTAAACCGTGATCGTATCTTCGCTCGAGGAGTGCTGAGTTCTTCATGCTCAAGGCATAGGACAGCGAAAACAGCACAGCGCTGTAAGATAGGGGGCTGGAACGGCCCTTAATCATAGCTAGAAGAGGGCTTGCGGTTCGTTATACCATAACTACCTCGGGACTAAAAGGGAATACAAGTACAAATTAGTCCCCCTACAGTACTTCTGCTTATCGGACTTATCGTAATTATCATCCCGCGCTCTGCCTGTCAGTAGACTAACACAGATTCACTTCAAGAACCCTAGCCTCAGAATGTCGATGACAGAACGCAGTCCACCTGGCCAAGCGACTCCATTTGGACAGGGGTGTAGACAACTCCTGCAAGATTAAGTCGGCGAGGCATTTTTCTTTCAGGGCTCTTCAGGGCTCTACACTACAAGGCGTAGGGTTTCGGCGTTTCTGTTGCTGCTATGTTTCGGGGTTTACGGCGGAAGGCTAGGGCGCAGAGCGTAAGAGCTGGCTTCAGGGTGCAAGTCTGGGTGTAGGATGTAGGGTTTAGGGTTGTTTAGTTGGGGTTCAGGCAGGCGCATTATGTAAACTGTAGGGGGCTTGGGCGTAAGGTGGAACGGGTTTGCTGCTTCGTTTCTTCTTTTCAAGAGCGCTTCTGGCCAGACTCGTACCACGGAAATTGAAAGACTGCTGCAGTCGAAAGGTGCAGACTACCCTAAAACCTAAACCCTAAATCCTAATACCCAGCACATTAAACCCTAAACCTCTAAACCCTAATACCCTAAACCCCTAAACCCTAGACCTCTAAAGCCTAATACCCTAAAACCCTAAACCCTAAATCTCTAAAACCTAATACCCGAAAGCCTTAAACCCCTAAACCCTAAACCTCTTCAACCTAATGCCCTAAAACCCCAAAACCCTAATACCCTAAACCCTTACTACCCTAAACCCTAATACGGGAGCCATACATCTCTCGAAGCCGAGACCTCCCTAAGGTAGATCCCGAACCCCGGACTCCCTGGAAGCCTCGGTTTAGGGTTTAGGGTTTAGGGTTTAGGGTTTAGGGTTTAGGGTTTAGGGTTTGGGGTTTAGGGTGGTAATCTAGGGACCTAAACAACTACAATACCATTGTTTTGGGGGGGAGAAACAACTACAATACTATTTTGGGGGGGAGAGGGGGGGGTCCTTATTATGATTATAGTATAATGGGCCCCAAAACCCTATTCGTATTCTTGAGCCTTAAAAATTCGATTGGGTTTGGGGGTATATTATACTTATAGTTTGGACAGGGAACCCCCAAAATTGTGTTGGTAATTATTCGGGCCCCTATAGTATCACCAACTCGGCGCGAGGAGTGCCAGGCAGGGACTCTTGAAAGCACTTCGAAGGGGTTTAGGGTTTAGGGTTTAGAGGCTGATGACAAAATTCCAGG